TTGATAAAAAAAAACCTTTCATTTTATTGATAATAAAAAAATTTGACAAAAAGCGAAATTGATAAAAAAACTTTTCATTTTTTTTATAGGAAAAAAATTTGACCTCAAAAAAATAAAATTGACAAGAAAAATATTTATAAGAAAAAATTTTGACCTCAAAAAAATAAAATTGACAAGAAAAATAGTTGATAAAAGAACCCCCTTGCTACTTAGTAGTAATTAAAGCGCAAACAAAATATATAATATATTAATGTTTCAAGTTAATACATTCACATTATCCCACATCGAAGAGGTAGAAGGAAGTTGTAGTGAATAAATACTTCTTTGTAGTTAACGAGTATAATGCATGTGAAGTGAGGAGAGTCACGTGACGAGATGTGCGGACTTTGAGGTACATGTACTTTTTAAAATTTACAAAAATACCCATTGAATAAAATTTTACAAAAATGCCCTGCCGATCCCATTGAAGAAAATTTACAAAAATGGCAATTGAAGAATCGGCAGGGCATGACGTCATGAATCGAAGAATCAGGAGAATCATGATGTCACATGACAATTTATGGCATGGAATCGTCGGTTCGAAGAATATGGAGAATCATGATGTCACATGGTATTTTACGGTATGGAATTGCTGGTTCTTCTCTAGAACCGGGCACTTTTCAGTATTTCACTGGAACCGGTCAAGTCGAATCAGACGAGTACGTTTGACTCATCGACTTTCAAATCACTGGTCTGAAGAGATAAGGGTAATTATTTAATAAAAAATCATATATAAAATATCAACTATTTGACAGTTCATCTATTTATCAAACCACACTAAAAATATTAGAATACTTGCCTTTTAATGAGATTTCTAAAATAAAATAAAATAATGTGAAATGTTAAAGGAGGTGGTTTGCATAAGATTGCATCGTTAAACCATTAAAAGTGCACCTCCAAACTTTGTTATAAGATGTAATTTTGGTATATAAAATTCTTAGAATGACTTGATAATTTATTTTCATCTTCAGTTATAAAATTTTAAACTCCAATAACCGATCTATAAATACATGAAAATCTTAAAAATGAATATGGTGAATCGAAACTACAATATGGTGATTAGGGCGGGGGGGGGTAGGGGGG